AACTGATAATGAGGATAAAAAAATATTATCATTATTATCATTATTATTATTATTATTATGCAAATAATGATAATGATATTATTTATGACAATAATAGTGATAATAATAATAATAATGAGGATGATGATAACAATAACAATAAGAAGAACAATAATGATAATAATAATAATAATGATAATAATAATAATAATGATGATGATGATGATGATGATGATGATGAAGATGATATTAATTATGACAATAATAGTGATAATAATAATAATAATGAGGATGATGATAACAATAACAATAATAAGAACAATAATGATAATAATAATAATAATAATGATAATAATAATAATAATGATGATGATGATGATGATGATGATGATGATGATGATGATGATGATAATGATGATGATGAAAATAATAATAATAATAGTAATAATAATGATAATAGTAATAATAATAGTAGTAGTAGTAATAGTAATGATGATGATAACGAGATACTGATTGTGAGATTGATGTTATATCTGATGTATGTATATTTGTATTATACTTCATTTTAGTACAATATATTGTCAGGGAGCTGATGATTTTTTATTATGCAATATTATCAGTTATCCAGCTAGGATGTATAACACAAAATTGTGATCCCGTAAAAGTAGCTCTCTGCCATCACGTGACTGTGACGTCACTCTAACGCATCGCAGCAGGGCATTTAAGAGACTATTTCACTCCGTAATTATTTGTAAATCACGATTGACTTTCATCATCCTTCATGACTGCTTAGAGTCGTCTACCATACACTGATGATAATAGTAATAATGATAATAAAAGTAATAATGGTAATGGTCATGATATTAATAATGATGAGGATGATAATAATAATAATAATAATAATAATAGGGGCAACAGCAACTACAACAACAATACAATAATAAAAACAAAAATAATGACAAAAATGCCATACTAATCTACTTTTTCTCCTCTGCCATCCTTTACACCCTCCCCCCGCCCCCCCCTCCTTCTACAGTTCAACGACATCCTCTCCCGCGGAAACTTCCAGCGTCAGGAGGTGGTTCGCGCCCTCGAGACTAACGACGGCGACGCTGACGCGGCCCTTCAGGAGCTGAACAAGCCGCAGCAGCATCAGCCCTTCACTATGAAGATCTGGGCGCCGCCGCAGGTGAGTCTTGGGGGCGGGGGGAGGGGGAAGGGGAGACAGAGGGGGCGGGGGATAGGGGGAGGGAAGGGAAAAGGGGAGGAGAGGGAGTGGGGAGAGGGGGGAGAGCATGAGAGAGGGAAAAGGAGGGAAGGGGGGTAGAGGAGGAGGAAAAGAGGAGGGGGTGCCACCGCATTGGCCGGAATCAAGGTAATTGGCTTTAGAATTAGATTTCGATTTCAAATTTCAACTTAGACTAAGACTCAGATAGTTAATATTACGTCTAGATTTAAAGGTAGACACTTTACTAGATGAATGTTAGACACATAATTACATTTAGATTTCGACTAAGATACAGACTTAGACTTGAGATTAAAAAGGCTGTATGAAATTAGCACTTTTTCCGTTATTTTTGTATTTTCGTTTGAAGTTTCCATATGCAATTGGTCTAATCTGTCACACTGACAGAGTGCCACTGTTACTAAGGAGGTAAACGAGTGCCCACAGAAAACATGGCACCATCCGTGTGAGGTCCCTCTGTATTTTAATTAATAAAAAATGTGTAAAGTAGACCACTACAGTGTATATAGAAATATGCTATGTTAGCTTATGTTTATATGAACTTCTTTTATTTAATTTAACAATAAAACCATTCTAATAGTAAAGATCAAGATGGAAATTAGTCAAACGAAAACTGCCTGGGAGGCGATATGCATGCATGCGATACCTACAGAGAGCCTCAAATTCATGCAGGAAAAAAAATACGGAAAAAGTACGCGTGATAGGGTGTAGGCTTGCCTTCTGACAGGGAAGGAAAGCAGCATTGAGCGGCATAGTTTGGGGATTTCACTTTATCCTTCTTTTTCTTCTTTTCCTTCTTGTTTACGGGGAGGGAAGGAGGTCGTGCCATCATATCGTGTAAGTGTGTGATTTATGAAAGGAAAAAAAAAGTGTATCTTGTCCATGCATGTTAACGCTTAAGGCCACGGTTAGTCCGACCTGAACGTTTACAACCCAGGCTCCTGAAGGACAAACACCCAAGCCGGTATCCTCCGCTCACGCCCAGGTGGAAGTCCAGGACGCCCCGCCCGCGCCGCCCTCGCCGCCCCCGCCCGCGCTGCCCCCGCCACCGCCCGCGCCCGTCGAGCCGCCCTCCGCACCGCCAACAATCGCAGGGACCAAGCAAGGTACAGTTAAGCGGCTTCCCTCTCTTGTCTCCCTCACTTCTCTTCTGATATCCTTTTAATTCGCTTGATTTTGTTCTTTTATTCACCCTGCCTTCCCTTCATTCCTTCGCTTCCCTTCACTTCCGGAAAACTCTTCCTTGTCTGCTAATTCTAGCCATTATTTTCAGAT